ATGTTCATCCTCCTCTTCTTCCTCTTCGTCATAATCGCCGTCATCATCAGCTGTTGCTTCTTGATACTGCTGGTACTCAGACACCAAGTCGTTCATGTTGCTCTCAGCCTCGGTGAACTCCATCTCATCCATACCCTCGCCGGTGTACCAATGCAGGAAAGCCTTGCGCCTGAACATAGCGGTAAACTGCTCAGAGATGCGCTTGAACAGCTCCTGGATGGCTGTGCTGTTGCCGATGAAGGTGGCAGACATCTTGAGGCCTCGTGGCGGGATGTCGCAGACAGCGGTCTTGACGTTGTTGGGGATCCATTCCACGAAGTAGCTGCTATTCTTGTTCTGCACATTCAGCATCTGCTCATCGACATCCTTCATGGACATGATACCCCGGAAGACGGCAGCCACAGTCAGGTAGCGGCCATGACGAGGGTCACATGCAGCCATCATGTTCTTGGCATCGAACATCTGCTGGGTCAGCTCGGAAACTGTTAATGCACGGTACTGCTGGCTGCCTCTGCTGGTCAGGGGAGCAAAACCAGGCATGAAAAAGTGGAGACGAGGGAAAGGCACCATGTTGACAGCCAGCTTGCGAAGGTCGGCATTGAGTTGACCAGGGAACCTCAGGCAGGTGGTAACACCACTCATGGTAGCGGACACAAGGTGGTTGAGATCGCCGTAGGTTGGGGTGGTCAACTTCAGGGTGCGGAAACAGATGTCATAAAGAGCTTCATTGTCGATGCAGTAGGTCTCGTCTGTATTTTCTACAAGCTGGTGGACAGACAGTGTCGCATTGTATGGCTCCACCACGGTGTCTGACACCTTGGGGGAAGGGACAACACTGAAGGTATTCATGATGCGGTCTGGGTACTCCTCACGGATCTTGCTGATGAGAAGTGTTCCCATGCCTGAGCCAGTGCCGCCACCAAGGGAATGCGTCAGTTGGAAACCCTACATAAAATTTGACCAAAAAAAACCAATAATTTTTTCTATTGGAAAGGATGGACTAATGTTGCCCACAAGGGGTTCCCAGCTAACTTTTAACTTATTCTCATCTTTAAGTAAAATTCTTAGGCCAGAAAGGCTTTGGGTTTGTCTGATAAACGATTTCCTTGACATTAGGAAACAAAACTTAAATGCACAAAATTAAACTGATTAAAATGTTCCTGGACAAAACGTGACAATTAAGGACTGACGGTGTTTTATGCCCATACAAGCAAAGTGAAGCAAAAACACAAATTGTCATAGATCAAAAGAAATATCAGTGGACTTGAGTTCAGTAACAACGAGGGAGCATTATCTCTCCTGACATTGAAGTAATCTGAAAGTTGATGGGGAGGGTTGGAATGCTTCTGCAGAGGAATTTCAACAATGCTCTCTCCTGAGGGAGAGTACCGCATCTTATGATTAAGCAGACATGTTGCAGATGCAGTGGTTATTCACCATCACATCATGACCAGTTGTACATATTTGACATTCAGCATAAATAACGATGACTGTACACTCACTTCCTTAACTGAATGAATACAAAAACCCTAAGACTATCTCTTGGTAATGCCACCAAATAAGAGGCATTAACAAATTTAAAACATAATGCTCCACAATAATTTATCACATTACTGTATGTAATGTTTACAAATTTTGTTTTCTTTCGGACACCAAAATCAATATTGGTGGCCCAGAAAAACAATAACAATGCCCTTTCAAGGCAACAATTACTCCAAAATCAATTAAATCCAGGACAAGCATTGGTAGACTGCCAGCAACTATAGCATCCTAATGGTCCATGTGCATTAATCAATGAGCAATACCATTGAAAAGAACAATAGGGCTTTATATTTGGCAAGATGCCATTCACTCAGGTGGTATTAAATTTGCCCAGTTCAAAGGCTTTAAGTGAGAAATAATCTCAAAGATTTGCTGAGCTGAAATTTGAGTCCTTAAGGAAATTTTACAGCTTGCCTTCATAAAACATTAACAAATAACTTTCGTATTTCGTTTCAATCTGTTTGAAAGTTTGAAAGAAGAATTTTCTCAGTGGTATTTCGTACCTGCAGGCAATCACAGCTCTCTGCTTCCTTCCGCACAACATCCAGTACAGTGTCTACAAGCTCCGCCCCCTCGGTGTAATGACCCTTGGCCCAGTTGTTTCCAGCTCCACTCTGTCCAAAGACAAAGTTGTCGGGTCTAAAGATCTGACCAAATGGACCAGAGCGGACAGAGTCCATGGTGCCTGGCTCCAGGTCGACCAGTACGGCTCGGGGTACATATTTGCCACCTAAAGTTGAAAACAAAAAAACACAAAACACCAAAAATACAATACTTAGGCTAGGCATGTAAACAGGATTTGAATCAATATCAGGCTTCGGGAGAGTGAAAAAAGTTCTTTCATCAGGGATTTTTTTAAAATGCTCCATGAATGGGATGACATGGACAGGTGCTAGGAATACATCAAGGGTATTTAAAATGGGTCACATTGACCTATAGTCTGGTCTGATTCAACCCTTGATTTTCTTGAGAAGATGGAAAGAGATCTCTACTACACCTGCTGGGATTCAAAATTGACTATGCACAATACACAGCCTATTCAATTGAAGTGGTAATCACATCAGCATGGGCTCATAACATATTCACATCTAATGATTTCAGACTTGTGTGGCATTCCAGAAAATTTCAATGAAAACTCAAACCAGGCTTAAGTGCAACATTCGCTATTCTGATGACCATATACATTTGTTAAATAGTGTAAAAATTAAATTATTCCGTCCCTAAGGACAACACCAGAAGCCCTAAAAAAACCTAAATGGTCTTTTAAGTATCAGGTTGGTCATGCTTGGTGTGTTTTCAAATTTATCTGCCCCCCTTGCCTATTATTTCCACCCCCATATCCTCCATCTGAAATTTTTACATTATAGGAACCCAACTCACACAGCACAGGAGACTTTACCCACATTTCTAAGAGTCTATATAATATTTATGGGCCGCAACAGTAAAGACTGTGTGTTCTTCTTTTCTACCCCCGTTATCTATAAAATAAAATTCCTTTTTTTAACATCATATGATACTTTCACCAACACCCTTGCATCGGTTGTCCCTAATTTATATGCAACTTTGACAAAGCCCTTGCACTAAGAGATCCTGACCCCATTAGAACACAGGATGATTCACATAATGACAACAACATGACTGCAGCCGTTCTCCCAGACATCACCGCACATAAGCAGAGTAACAGATGGACCTCATCCCAACGACAGCTTAATCATGCTTCATCAATCATGCGGCTCTTTCCACCTTCCAAATTCTCTGCTATTTCCCCCTTCCTGCTTGGGTTGCAAAGGCCACACCTTACAGCATTTATGCCTTCAGCTACCTGACCACATGGCAACAAGGAAATCCCTCCATAGCAACCAAGACTGCATCCTAATCAAGCCTCATCAGTGATGCAGCGCAGTGTTCCCGCATCCCCCCCCCATCCCAGTGATGTGGCACATCGTCTGACGACGATGGGACGATGACTCATACCTGGGACACTGGCCTTCACAAACACGTTTCTCAGTCTCTCAACACCATAGCCAATGCCTATATTAAGTCACTTTATTATCCGATGAAGATACCGATTCTAACCTGTCTGGCATTTGTCATGACAAGAATCTAACCAGCAAGCAGAGCATCAGTAATTAAACATTTGTGCTTGAGTTGTTTTTAATTCCTGCATTTAATTTAATTTGCCACCAAAGTTACATTAATACATTCCAACTACTAGAAAAGTGCACAACAGCACACAAAACAGATTTTCTCAGTCAATGGCTGAGGGCAATCCCTCCTACAAATTTATAAGCTGCTCTTAAAAGTCATGTCCAAGTAGCTTGTGGATAGCTGTTCATTGACATTAAAATATAGACACATCAAAAATGCATGCTTTATTCTCCTACAACTCCTTTGTTTTGCTACATTGACACGGCATTTTCTGGAAAAAAAGGTTCCACAAAGCCATATATACACCTGCTAATTTGCACTTGTCTGCAAATCTCAGACTACATCAATCACCATCCGTTAAACTGTACATTCTTTGCATGTACAACTCAACAGCGATTAAGCTGACAGGCACCTTTTGTACCTGCAGTTACACATGCTTCAATTTGAATTTTATGACCAGTTTCACGGCCATGGGTGAGCTGACTAAAGAACAAAGGTCACAGTGCTATCATTCTCCTCCCAAAAGTGCAGCTAACACAGAGACTGTAATTAAAACCATTGCTGTCCTTAAATAGGAGAAAGACATATCATTCAGCACACATTGTGAATCATGTATAGATTTTTTGGGGGGGGGTAGATACTTTAACAACATTTGGATACATGAGAGATGGAAGTCAGTTCTTCAAAAATCTACAACAAATCACGAGAGAGTATTAATTAGAATCAATTTATTTACTCTACTCATCCCAGCAAAAATCATCTACTACAGAACAGAATGTTCCGAATCAGATGAAATACTGTATTTCCGCAGTCTTTATTCCGTGTAGGCCTACATGTGCTGGAACTAAACCATGACACTTGGCATAATGCTGTGTACATGTTGAGGACAACTGTTATTCACCACTCTGTATAACAGTTTTATCATAACAATAGCCAAGTGAGCTCACGGGATTTACCCTTCAAAGGTTCTGTCTGCTCTATCAAGCAATCACCCATGACATTTCAACATGCAGACAGTCTACAAAAGACTACAAAATATAACCCAGGAAAATTAACAATGGCCCCTTAAACCTTACATACGTGTATTACCCAGACTGCCAAAATGATTTCTGCATCATAGAAGCAGATCCGTGTCTAAATGCGTACTTGGGCCTTCCCTTTATGTGGATGCCAAATCCCATTGTAATTTTATATCACGTCTATCCAGACAGTTTAAATGTCTAAAACAGGTGTATGTGACAATGCAGGAAGCAATGTCAAGTATGGGCCATGGGCTGTAGAACAGCAGATGTGACAGTGATAAAAGCGACTGGTGTATATGTAGAGTGGATGAAGTGGGTGAAGTGGGTGAAATGGTTAAGTGGCAGAAGCAGCTGGACAAGACTGTGTCTCCTTGTCAACTGTACATGTAGTTGAGAATGGTGTCAATCATGACGTCACTTAGAAAGACATTTTGAAGAGAAAACTCAATGTCATTATTGCTGACAAAAGGGAACAACCCCCCAAAAAACAATAAACAACATAGCAGCTACATTCTATAAGACTATAACATCCAGCAGATTAAGGCACAACATCGAAATATTACAAACAAGCCTTTACAATGTCGGCACATACATGTTACACATTTCAGAAATAAACACAGCTACAAAAGCCTACAACGGTGACCTTTGAGCTAACCATCCCCATTGAAAATCTTTCCCTTTCAGAGAGCCAAGGAAAACCTGCACGTATGACTCATAAAATAAACCTCATTATGTTAATCCAAAATGGTTTGGAAGTCTGATTTCATGAATGATAGCTACCAGAGTTGTGTACTGAAGTTGGCAGAAATATCAACTGAAGTTACAAGTAAAATGGTTTTAAGGCTCATAACGATTACACTTTATCTTTTTGAAACTACATCAAATCACCAATCACGTACATTAGCAGTAAGGATGGTAAGCTGAGTAAAGTTTGTTCTCTTTCATTCAAAAGGGTGAATTGAGATGGAAAGATTCTAAGCACTGTCTATCAACAAACCTTCACAGTGTGAAAGATCACATTTATAGTGTTTATCAAGTGACAACTTAGAAGAATCTTTCCAAATTCTTAGCATGCATGGATCTGTGCTATTTTGATAATCCAGCCATCACAAAAGCGCAGATCCATGCTCTTAGTGAAGTAGTCCACAGTGATCAACAGCTTTTAATCAAGTATTTGATTTGTTTTGTGGAAGCAACACTTGATTTTTGCCCAGTATGTGTGGATAGTTTGGCTCCACAATCGGTGACATGTACACCAATAAATGATACACCGCTATCTTTACATAAGTTGATCTGTAATGCAAATCCAGTAGCGCCCTCACCCTCCCTACATGCATCAACGAGGCATTTCAGAACTGTGCAGGTTGACCCCATTGGTAGGATGAGTCACACATGCTGACCAAGTCTGGAGAGAATAGATGATTGCTCACATGATTGACCTGGATATGTCTGAGTGTTAACGGACCACAGCCTGGCTTGTATTTCAGATACAAGCAACTGAAGTCTTTGCAGGGCCCCATTTATAATTTCATGCCTGAAGTACATGTTCATGTACATGCATTAGAGTGTGTTACAGGTTGAAAGACGGACTGTGTTACAGGTTGAAAGATGGACCGTGTTACAGGTTGAAAGATGGACCGTGTTACAGGTTGAAAGATGGACTGTGTTACAGGTTGAAAAGTTGATGACAATTGCATATATGCAAGATAGTCTGATTCAAAAGGTTGTGGTCTGGAATTATTTTCTTCTTCTGAAGGATATTTAAAATTTGAGGTTTCAAGATAAATTTATCAAATACTATTCCAAGGTTGTAATAAGGGGTCCAGAAGCAATAAGCTGTTGGTAATTTTAATTTACAAGTTACAAATATTCATCAACAGGAGGTCCTGTTCAGAGATGATTTTTTTTTCCAGAAAAAAAAAGAAGGATTGCTTAAAGTATTTCTCGAGGCAAGTATGGAAATGTAGTCCTCGTTTTCTGTAAGGGGGCTTAAAGTGCTTCTGGGAACCAGTACGTGGGCGCAAGGAACAATGGTCTTGTCACAAAATAGAGGGAAAGGTGGAGATGAAAAAAAAAGGTATAAAGGCAGGCCATGTGAAAACAGCAGTGAATGCCCCAAATGTCCTTGGTCCCTACTAGAATGAACAATGGCAAAACCAGGAGCCTTTGTCAGCATTGTATGAGGCCTGTGTTTAGGTAAAAGCTCGACAACAGCTGGTGGGAATATACTTGAGATTTCAATTTTAACACACAATTGTACACGACGGCATTTACATCTTATGTCTTCCTTGTTTTCCTACAAATTGAGGATATACAGCTAAGCTTTGATGGGAAAAAAATCCATGTCCAGTAAAATGAACAATATTGGAAGGCTTTTGCACTGGATTTAATCCGTTGATCACTCCCTGCATACAGGTAGTGTGTATGTACACTGAGCAACGGTTTAAACAAACATTTACAGTGTGGTACTGATCAATAATATCCACACATCCCCATAGGAATTGATTTCCTTCTGTCTGGATGCGGCCAAACACAGTGCAGCATAGAAGTAAATCCCACATTACCATTATAAATATAACATGGAAAAATAAGTAGATAAAATATTTCCAGCCAACAGAGGGCGCTATATAATTTTTCATCTCGAAAAAGGAGCTACCTTCCTTTTCAGGGCACTTTGTTTCAAGTTACTTCCAGGGTTTTTCAAACGTTCAAGGTCTTTTGGAGTAGGAAAATTAGGGACCCATGTTGAAAATGTTAAGTTAATTTTTGATCAACTTAATAATTACTTCCAATCAGCTAGCTGTCTAAATATTTCAGTCATTCACGTCAAGTTGTTTGTCAACTATTTTGTTTACTTCACAAATAGAATAAATGGCTGTTCATCTCAATAAGTTTAAAGTTCTAAGATTATCTATACGGCACTCAAGTTGAAACAAACCAAACCAAAAATCTGAGCAGACAGGTGATGTAATTTTGAGGGTCTTACCCGTAGCTCTATTGTAGTAGACACTAATTCGCTCCAGTTGTAATTCAGAGTCTCCAACGTAGGTACCAGTTGGATCAATGCCATGCTCATCAGAGATCACCTCCCAGAACTGTTACCATGACAACAACAACGATGTAAGGTTCAAAAGCTCTGTTCACATCAAACATTTGATCACTATGATGACACGGCATTTCCAAATGAGGAGAAAAGAGGAAAGTTGCTCAGTTTAAAAAATTCTGAGTGCATTGAAATGTTTTTTTTTCATAAGATGAGCATTTTCTCATATAGAGGAGGCATTTTTGACAGGTTAACAAATGCATTTACAGACCGAGACTGTTACTTTACTATGAGTAAGCAAAAAATCAATACCCTCCAGATCATTGTCAATTATGATCCCACCACTAAACATAAGGAGCTTGCTTGGAAATTGCAAAGTCGAAGTTCAGTAAAAAAGACAAGTTCAGTGTCATAGTTCATATTTCCTGAACTCATAGGACACTAGACACAGCAATCTTGCTGCCATTGGAGGTTGAGGTTTAGTAAGTAAATTTCATCACACGGTTCTTTGTCTTACCTTTGCTCCAATCTGGTTCCCGCACTGCCCAGCCTGGATATGCACAATCTCACGCATGATGAATGACCCCGGACTATCAACTACAAGGACCAAAGCAGAAATTGAACTAAAAAAGAATGAAATTTGTAAGAAAGACTTCTGGATGGTACTCAAGATGATCTGCAAGCCCGGCTTGAACAAACCGAAGGTAGATAATCGAGAGAAAGAGGCAGCGTGACTTCAGATCCAGGGCAGGACTGTCTGCCAGGAAGTGCGATAATAGTCCCTTAGTGTCAACAGGAAAAGCGTGTTATCGTCTGATTGGTCGAGAGGCAACAGTCGATGAGTTTGCGGCTTTCTCAGCCAGGAAGGCACGCTGGCTCACCTTGGCATTCTCTTAGTGGTTTTCCTTTGGTTTCTGACTTTTGAAAATTTGTTTTAGTGACAAGAATCCAGTTGAGAGAAGAATCAATTTACAGAAAAATGACAAGTGATTTCTGTAACATTGGCGTGTTGAGCTATTAATGCTGAGTAATGTCACTTCTAGGAGCCAAGCTTCTTGGAAAGAAGTTGCTTGAGATTTTATAATTTACAAGGGTTCATCTTTGAAGACATTTCATCAGAATGTTTTGTGCCTTGCGATCCCGGAACATCCAAACCCCATTACTGATCACACACAATCTATCTGCTGGCGAGAGGATGTTTTCTGTGGCTGGTCCCTGTCTCTGGAACCAGCTTGAAGTTCATCTTAGTGAGTCTAGGAATGTGGAGAGTTTTAAGACGGGGCTGAAGATGCACCTTTTTAACAAGCATTTTTAGTTTCTTAGTATTGATTCTAATTATGGTACATGTAGGTTTTATTTATTTATTTATATTTTGATGTACAGCGCCTGGGAGCAGCCTGATGGATTGGGCGCTTTATAAATGTCAATTATTATTATTATTATTTATTATCTGACTGCTTGAGCCATACACACCCCTTGCAATTTAAGAGGTTTTGTGGACGCTGGACGGGGGTGAAAATAATGCAGCATACTCAGGGCAAAATTGGAGGTATTTACTAAATTAACAGGAATGTCCAGAAGAACTTAAAAAAAATTCTCTCTGAATATACGATTCACTCTTGCAACAATTTCTATTTACCGAGTAACATTTGTTAAAAATAATTTCATGATTAATGTCCTACAATCAGAAGTACGTTTGATTGATTCAATTAAGTTTGATTTTGTAATTGACTTCCGGCAAGGAATCACTTTGCTGGGATGAATTCTTTTTAACGTTTAGTCCCTGGGATGCCTTCTCTAATGGTCCAAGCAGACTGAGCATTAGCAACTGATCAATGGTCCTCAAGGAAGCATACATGAAAATCAATAAAGAAAACAGGATGGAAAAGCTGGATGTGTTTTGACAAGATCTCCCCCAGCAATTGGCGCTGATGACAGGCATTAGAGGCTGGGATGGGATTGTTTAAAGGGTCTAGAATTTCACAGCCAATGCTGTATGGGTTGACATGATCCAGTTGCTTCAAATGAAATGAAACACGCAGTTGGTGTTTATATGCCTACAGTTGATGCACAATCTTCAACCACCACCTTCAACTTTACAATGTCTGTTTCCTTTTTAATTTGTAACATGACAAGGAAATGAGATAATGTGATTAGAAAATGTACATGCCTGATCTGCCCATGTTAGATAGCCCCCAAAATTTGGAATAACAATTTTAAGCGTCACTAACATTGCACCCAGTCACAATATACATGATCAGAACATTTGACGACAGGGTGATTTGATCCCTTTTTAATTCTACAACTCTCACGTTTTATGTTTTTTTACCTTGAGGGAGGGTCAGTTGGTTGGGGGGAGGGGGAATGGTACCCCCAGACAGCGGGGCGGAGCCCGCATTTCTGGGGGGAGGGAATGGGGGAAACATTTCTTGTTCTGTGCCTAGAAATTTTTCAGATTATCATTTCTTCTCAGTTTTTTTCTTAGTAGGAAATTCCAGACAAGGTTGATGGCATGACAGAGAGCTATATAATTAATAAGGGTTTTTGTTTGCTTTAATCAGAGTCAATTAAAAGTAAGGGTTGGCCGGAATGAAAACCATCAAATTAACTGACATGGACACCCTTAATGTTTGGGGAATGTGTCTTTTGACGTGTGGCTAAACTAGGCACTGAGGATTCCTACATTTTAAAATATCAGTGCCGAAGGTGGAAGTTCAATCCGAACACGCACATTACATCGTTAGAGTCACAAATTCTGAAGTTGTACTAGGCTTGTGGGCCTAGTCGGAAGTCACTGAAATTAAGTTAACTTCTTTCAAACACAAGCAAGGTCAACATGACAAGGACAGTTTTACCTGTGTTAAAGCAGCAGCCATTTTGGAGGCAAGCATGGCAGTCCCTCAATCAGTTGCAAGGTAAGTAGGCTAGGAGAAGAAATGATGCGTCAAGCTTCCACTTCAGTGTAGGTATCTCCGGGCCAAGCCTGGGGCCTATCATTTCGAATAGGCCGCCGGGGCCGGGGCGGCGCAGACATGCATCCGGAGCGAACAGCACGCAAAGAAAGAATTCAGTTAGGCCTTGCCATTTTCGTCGAATTAAGGCAAATGTAGAAAAGGTTTACTGCCAACACTGTTTTTGACCACTGAAAAGTAGGCCCTACATTAGTTGCAACATCTGTCAAGCCATCAGACCACGGAGAGATCAGACTGAAGCCTCTCCGGTCTTATTTTGGCGGGAAACTTAGGAACTGTTTGTGCTTCGTTCAACCATGGCATGGAGTTATTCAACTATTCAATTCAACAGTTAACGTTAGGGGCGCGTTAGGCCTTCACAGAAATAATACATTCCCTCTTTGCAATCAAATCAATAGTTTTAATTCCCTCAAATGAGTCAAATCAAGATAATTGAAGCCAAAAACTTAAGAGGATTTAAGATGGCTCGATTTTCATTTTTACGGCCCTTAAGAATGGCGCCCTCCCCGAACGGTGAAATTATTTTTCATTTTTACGGCCCCTAAGAATGGCGCCCTCTAGCAACAAATATCGTTAAGTTGAGCATGTACATGTAGTTCATATCCACTTACATTTTGCAACAAGTATACGCAACTACATTGTTATCAACTATTTGCAGGAGATCAAGAACTCTAAGATGGCTGCGCCCATGTGCTTTTGCTGTCTGTAGGCCGGCTGTCGTTTGAGTTCTCCACATGTCACAGGTTTGTCTGTCAAGTTTGTAACCAAACTGAATTTGTGGAATTAACATGTCCCTGTAGCTGCATACTTGTGGCTGGAAAATTCGGTGCACTTCACTTCAAAACTTTTAAAATTCTCCGACGAACATGGTCCACGCGTGATGCCTATATGCTAATAATAGACTGTGTTCCATAGGCTCGCCTCAGCATGATGTCATGAGTTCGTACAATTGTACTTGTGCTGTGGCAAGTTGTTGTTATAGTGATACAAAATGTTAGTTGATGAATAGTTTGGGGAAGAGTTCCATGATTGATAGCATAGACCTAGGTGATAGGCCCATAGGACATGACGGATGCTAGTATAATCTAATTATTCCCTACTGTGATCTATTAACCGTCAGAAAGCAAAAACATGTCCAGTAAAGTTCAGTTTAGGAGGGATAAAAACCAAGTCATCCACTTAGAAAACACTTAGAATTGTTCAAACCAGTCCCATAGGGTCTGTGCACAGGGTGTCAAGTGGCGTCTGTATATGTGGAACTTTTTCCATAGGTTGTACTTTCTAATGTGTTTTCTTCCCAGGAAGAATTCCAAACATGGATACCATTTATTTTGCCTGTCTGCACTCTGCAGTGTAGACCGTAGTGATGCAAGAGAATCACTAACTTTGCACATTTTGCAGGAAATATATTGAGCATAATTCACTAAGAACACATTCATATATTTTGTGCACGGTGTGTCAAGTGATGTTCATAAAATGACATGAATGAGCTCTGACTAGAATGTTATTTCAGAGCACCACATTAGTGTCAAGTGTCAAAAGTGCCACCATGTGTACTTTTCAAACCTGTTCACCCAATTTCTTACCCCCTTAACCCCCCGGTCCTTGCCCATAACCTCCCTAAAAAGGGCAGAGGCCCCTTTTTAACCCTAAACTTCCCCAACCACACAGAATTAAACAGTAGTAAAGTGTTTAATTCTGTGGGGATAGGTCTGGTAGGCCCATAACAGCTGGCTTTTGCATTGGGTTTGGCATACCTCAGAAAAACTAAGTCCAACAGCCTCTGTGCACAAAGTCCCAAATGGGTGTTTAACTTTGTGTGAATGGGGAAGCTTAGGGCCAGCAACCCTTGGGGGTTATGGTTAAACTTGCTGGTGTGTGTGTTATTGATTTGTGACATTCATAAATCCTGAAGGTCCAATTCAGAATTCTTCCCAAGAAGGGTTTTACATGTGCCTGTATGTGCAGCTGTTGACAATGGTAAAAATTGCTTTCTTTTGTCGGCCTGTTGAGGTAAAATCTTACGGTTAAAAGAATGTTTCGGTCGTGCTTTTACTTTTAGTGTCAACAAGCGTCAGCACACACGAGAAGCGTCAACAAAGCGTAAACAACTTGAAAATATCCTCCGGAGGTTTCAAAGGGGTTAGATCATATTTTACAGACAGGTCAGTACCATCTGCCACTTTGTAAGAGAAACAGCAATTTTTCTTCAGACTCACGCAGGAAAACAAAAATTTTCGCAGTATGTATGGGGGCCGTCCACGTGAAAATAAGATGGCGGCCAGTTTGGCTGCACGAGCAGAGCTGACTTTGTTGCTCAAATTTCCTCGCTCAAATAACATTTTAGATAAATTTGATATATTGAATATGATATGAAGAAGCCTAATTAATATTATGTTCAAAAGAATTTGTACAAATATGCTTGAATAACTCGATGACTCTTATTGATGCTAAATAGCATGACCTGAGCGTATTTATCCCATGCAGATTCTCACTTCAGGATGTCTTCAAAGCAAAGCCTCTCTACTGGTGCCTCTGAGGAACCAGCACGGTCAAGACTATCTGTCCATAATTTCACTGAGACGATATGTGAACAGTCCATTTACTTTCACGTTCTTTGCCTGAAAGACAGCTTCCTGCTATGGATTGGGCAGCAACCAGCAAATATGTCCAATCTAGCAGTTGCTCTCAGCACAAAGATTGTAAGTACATGTACTTATTTCCAATTCGGTTTGGTAACGTTTATGGTCATCAGTGCTAAAAGTGGATTACAGCAAACATAGGCAGAGAGACTGAATAACAAGAGATCAGAATGTGTCTGTAGCGAGTCTGGGAAAAACTGATGATTGCTTCTCAACGTGGTTCTTGTATAGGATAGCATTCCCAGTGCATCATTGTTAATGGGAGAGATGACAGATCCGGTATCAACGACATTAGCACAGAAACTTGGTAAGTCAGTCATCAATTAGTCAGTTATAAGCACAAATGTCATTTGAAACCAAAGTAGCCCAACTCCAATTCCAAACTACCCAACCCAATTCAATTTGCTCCTCTTTTCTGAATATATCATCCACATGCTGCTTTCCTTTTTCACTTCACCTCGCCGTTGGGCTCTCCAAAGTCGGACAGTCGATCTGGTCTCATTTGTGAAGTTCATCTTGTTCAAGGCTTGGGCTGTTGGGCCCTGCAACGATGCCCTAGTGTGTGTTTTCAATGTATTGAAGAATCTCTTTGTCAGGTGTTTTCAGGGTAGAGAATCAAACAAACCACAGGTCGGACCAGGGGTATTTGTGGGAGGGGAAAGGATTAGAGTTGGGTATTTGACGGCATGTCATCGCTCACAAGACAGGTGGCACATTTTTCTTGCAGCTAAACTGACAGGGAAGCAGGTGTTTGTGAGCTGTGACCTTCCACAAGACAGGATGCTACTGCCTCTAGTGGAAACAAGAATCATCAATGAACTCAAGGCCGTCCCCGACAAGTTCTACTTCTGATCATGGATTCCTTCTTATTGTGGACCTTAAGTTGGACGATAGCCTAGGATTGACTCTATGGATGGCCCAAGGGGTAGACAGAGCCAAGAAGGAGGTGGGTGAGCGAGTATTCTACGACTAGTCTACTTGTTTGGAAGATATGTCCAGCCCACAAAAGTGGTAGGCCTCTGTTGGTTGGGGTTTGCCATGTCTTCAATTAGGATGTAAGATTGTATTGACACGACTGTCATGGCTGTCAAAGTCAGTCAGCTCTCATTCCTGAAAGGTTTCCTACTTCTGTGTTCATGGATTCTGCGATTTCCATTTGAATCTTTCCTTTGCGATATTCCCTTTGGAAACTATTTCCTTTTGTAATAGTCATCGTTGTTAGTTTGACACAGTTGAAGACATTTAAAGCCACTGCGATAACCAGCTAGCTAGGCTTACATGTATGCAGACAGTCCATTGGCCATGTTCCCAAGTTTGTTTGTCCTTGGAGCGTGCACATTGTAAATGCGGTGAACAAGGATGAAGTCCCTTCCACCTGTAGTCCGTTTGGTCTGCATAACTTGGCCTGCATAAATTGTTTATCACCTGATACAGAATGGACTTGACATGCACTTGGCAGGGGTGGATCCAGGATTTTCGGAGGGGAGGTGTATTTGTTTGTACGGGGAGGCGGTAATACATTTAGTTTTCACCGTCGAAGCCATTCGATCTCTTTGTTTTGTCTTTAACCACATGCAAAATAAGACCCCTACATGGTTAATACTTTTTGGGAGGTCTTCCAACCTTAAGATGAACGCCCCTTTATTAAACAAAATTGGCACCGAGCAGGGTGACGATTATGACACCATCCCCACCTCTGGATCCACACCTGCTTTAAGGAGCTTAAGTCAGGAAGTATTTTTAATAAAGACATTTGGAGGCCTTCAACTAGTTGTATCCTGGGAGATTGATTGTCTAAGAACTCACTGAAATCTCCAGGCCTTTATTAACTACCTAGACGTCACACACACACAGTTTGCCTCCAGATCCGACTGACAGCCCAGCATTTCTGTTCTACGCTGCAGGATCTGTAGGAATCATAAATAGCTGAAACTTCAACAAAGTCAAGTTTTATCGATGGCTGTCCCATATAAAAGTTTGTTTTGAGAGTCGTTTTTTTTCTGACTTCTTCCTATATATTCAGTAACTCCATACAATTATCATATAAATGACCTTGATTTCACCTTTGTGTAAATTTTCATGAGAGCTGTTTACTGTGGTAGTTTCTCAAACATCCTCCTCGTGAGGAGCTTCGTCATCGCTCGTTTCACTGTCTCTGTCACTCGTCCGAGTCAGGTCTTCCTCATCAGAGAAACTGGTGTCACTCTTCAAGCTCAGTGTGAGTTTGGACTCATAGCTTTGGAGGTCCGGGTACTTGGGGTTCTTTTTCAGGATGGAACCACGTCCCTTTGTGGATGCATCGGGTGCGGAGGAATCGTTTGACGAACCCTCGCCGTCGCCATGGAACACAAACTTGACCTTTGACGTGCGCCTGTCCAAGGTGCTCTCCCCAGTGTTTAGGAGAAAACCGACCTGCGACCTTTTGACCTGCTTTGTGGGGTCTGTGATTGCAATTGAAGTCATAGGCAATGGCAAGCGACTGATGTCGCTGGTAGAACTTTGGATTTTCTGTACACTGAATCGTCCAATGTTGACCCTATCTTGGATTTTTGCTGCCTTTTCACTTTTCTGTTCATCCTCATCAGCAACACCGTGACTGTTTTCATCAATCTCAGGTGCTTTGCATGGAATGCCCTCCTTGCTAGGAACGTCCGTCACAATAAATCTTCCCACAGTCTTGTGCACATTATTGTTCTTATACGGGGGCCCTTCCATCCTCTGTTCTCCCTCCCTGTCAAACCCATTTCCTATCTGTGCATAGTTGCTTAGATCGGAAGTTTCTTCATCAGGCATGTTCGCATTGGCAGTCTGTCTGACAGGGTCAATTGCATCATCAAATCTGTGTTCCATCAATGAAGCTTGCTCCCCCTGGGATGGTTTAGATCGCCGCCACTTCTTCCATAGGTAAGCAGAGCTTTGCCAGAGTACAGCGCCCAGGGATAGGACAGAAAATGTAACTCCCAAGATGCTGAACAGAGTCCTGGTAAGGTTCAGATCATAGGTGGATAGGGTTCCAGTCTCATCTGAGTTGAAAATAATAAAACTAGTGCTGATCAGATTGGTTGTTATGTAACACTTTATTTCCCTTGTTTTGGGCCATAATAATTTATTGCCTTTGAACTAGTGATGAACAGACTAATGAGGGCTCACTTTGCTTATTCAATTCTGATCATTGTTGCTAACAGGCTGGTAGCAATATTTTTTATTGCACAGTAGTCTTGAAATACACGATATACTTTCCTCTGGGAAACCTGAGTAATTGTCAGTCTTGAGGGGAGACTAGTCTTCAAGACTAGGGCATGTTGGATCAAGGACCATAGTTATCCATGGTTCAACTAACTCTGATTGAATTTGTATTCCAAATATGCACTGATTTCTCCTCTCTAAAATGTTTCCCAGGGAGATGGTTATTTTCTTTTTAATTTATTTGTTTTAGAACTTCTCTTGGAGTGGAGATGAATGACTAAAACGGGTATTGGGTTATGGAGTTAGTGGGCTATTGTACTTAAATTGGCAGATCGTGTCGCCAGAGTCACTTCAACATTAGCAATATTACATCCTGCAAAGATGCAATCAGCATCTGGACCTCTCTCAGTTCCCACGAAACTGGGATTTCTGACATCGAAAATCCAGATGTCTAAAACTTGGTCACACGGAATATTTCCGGGGTTTATTGAAAGTTCAGTGAAACATTGATAGTATACAAATGAACAACAAAAGATATTGCTGGGAAGTTTCACACACGCAAAGCACCAGAAACACTTCTCATTAGTGATCCTAGAAAAGCTTTTTGAAGCCAACGTTCATATAAATGACATTGTATTAAATACAGAAGTTAGATCTAAATTTGTGGTGAATAATTTTACACTATGGTCATTGCAATCTTTAGCACATCGTAGTACGTAGTACATGTTAATCTCTGCGCGTGTCGTACGCTGTTTGCGCGTCCTCCGACCTATAGATCTCCGCAAGGAGCGAATGCTGTACGATTCCACCGTAGTACGCCTTGCGTGTGACCGATTTTATTTTACCTTTGCACGTGTCGTACGGTGTCTGCGCCTCGTCCGATCCATCTCCGCAGTGATCCACTGAGTCGCATCTCAGTCGGGAAGAAATACAGTCTCCGCTGATGCAGTGGAACATCCCGGGCTCGGTGCATGGTATCCCTAGTGGGTTAATTATTCATCCAAAGTGCCATGAATTTTGTCTTAAGATGCTAGGCCCGTAGGTGGGCCCTGTTGATTATCATTGGGAAGTTAAGGGGTTAACAAAGGTTTTTATTTCACAGTGCAACAGCAGGGGTCCTGCAGTATAAGGGCATTTTTATGGAAATCTGTGTTTCAAAAAGTAGGAGTTTGTTTGGGGAATGGAGGTTAGTTTTAGAGGGATTCCACTTTATTTACTTTTCAGAGAGGAGACGGCGGGGTGCACTGCTCCTTTGAGCCGTTCTCAGTTCTATAGGTTTGCATGGTTTGAAAAAAGGCTGATAAATTTAATCCATCAAACCTTGGTAAATTGCTGTGAAAACCATTCGGAAACCTCTTCCGCGTTGGGTGCCGCCAGATTTGAACTTGAGCTCCAGCCACGCCTGCGTTGACGTTACGTCTTGTGGAGGGTCCCGCCCACAAAATACACGCCCTCCTCGTGTTCCATGGATTAAGGCTGTACCGCGAACTTCCAAGAAATTCATTGTGCAGGGTTTCTCGGACGTAATGTCGAGCTCCATAAACTGTTGAGGGCAAACAGACTAAAATGTCAGCTGTTTTTACAACGGGGCCTGTTTGTTGCCCAGAATTCTACTTGAGCTAACAGACATATTGTAAAACGGAATCGTTTGTCTGTTGAATTATACATGTATATCCCATTATTTCGGTATCCAAGTGATGCAGAATGCTCTAATTGCTTGTAACGTCAATCTGAACTTGCTCTGATGCCAGGCAGTACGGGGAGAATTTTTTCCCTTTGAAATTATTTTGGTGAGTAAATTTACGCATTTTCTGTTCAAAGTTATTTTGGGCATTGTCCATGCAATTGAGCCAGAGGTACTCCAAACTTCATCGCTTCTGTCACGAAAGAATCCTTCCTCAGTGGTATTCACCTTTAGCCGGATTTTCTGACGGCTGTCTGGAGCGAGTAGTGTCAGCGAACACTCTGTTTTGGGTTGATAGTAAAGCGACGTCTGAGAAAAGATGATATCGCCGTGTGATCGCACAGTTTGTCCGCATCGAGACTGCATATATACTGGGGAAGAAGGAGAGAAATCAATCAGTAACGGCCAGCATTGTGATTGTAAAACTCAGTTACTGGCTGAAAGTAATGGTGAAGAAAATCTGTACGTTTGTGTGTTAGTTATGAAATGCACAATAGACGCAGAGTGTGAAAAAATGACTACATTATGGGTTGATGGATGTGTGAATTATGGGTGGGACATTCTAAGGTTTGGGATGAATCACCCGAATCGTTAATATCTGTCCAAATTGGTATTTTTTATTGGACGGACATATTTGTAGCTTTCAAGTGCTTTATCAAACAGAGCCAAATTGTCAACGAAAAGACAACCCCGTACTTCCGAAGTACTCCAGCTCAGAAAGTAGTTACAATTTGCCCAGTAGTCAATCATTGACGAGCGCTGCGGCTATTTACGCCAACAAACTTCCAAAGGTCACCAGGTCTGCTCGGTGTGCTTGTCACTCGCGTAAACTGGCTGCCTGCTCATCAATCATGACTTTTCTTCCCTGTGTTACTGCCACTAACATGGCTGTAGGATCAAAATGTCGGAATGTTCGCCGTGATGGTACATCCAAAATGAGGCAATCTTGCCCAGTTTTATAACCAGACAATTGTGGTGTTGGGACTAAAATGTTCACGCATAACACGAACGCTTTTAATTTATAGGCATGTGATGTTTAGGAGAATATAAGAACTATTTGTGAGGCATGTGTCAGGTTAGGTTTGTAGAAGAAGAAAACGCAACATTACAGGTGTGTTTGCAGAGCTGTGGAATATGATAAACTTGGAAACTAGAGGAACTTGAAACAGAATGAAAACCGGCTTCAAAGTAAGGCGAATGTCTTAGTCGGGTACAAAATCCGGCATGATTTACGAACCTTGTTCTGGTGATCGTGAAAAAAGCAAGGTTGTTACGTAGGCTGACTTTGATCAAAGTAAAAAATCTCACAGGTTTTTTTTTTCGCACGAGGTTGAGACTTGATACTGAGGAACTAATCCAGCTGTCAGATTGCGCATATTCATTGATGGCAGCTAGATTCTTCCTTATTTGTTTCCCCTGCTGTCAAGCCTGAGAGTTGTTACAATGATGCACGATAACCAGGCAATATTTACACAGTTTGTCCAACCTCGTCGCCATGGCGTTCAGATGATACGCTACCACAATCTGTGCTCATACCCGCCGCTGGATCATAATGCAAACCGAATAATTTTTATGTTACCATATAGGCCTCTATGTCGTGGCAATCAGGAGACTCCCCTGCACATCTTCTATAGGTAAAAAGAAACGGCAGCAAGATGAGCCGCCTCTTTTTACTTAAGACCCGCCCCGTTATGGGATCTGCGCCAGCTATACAGAGATACATGTATCTACATGTATGTACCTTTGACCTGTTCCACATTCAGAACTCTTCAGTCACCGCTTTCATGTTATCTAATTTATGTAAAGCCTAAATAGAGTTGATCAGCGACCAACGAAAAAATGGGAAGGTTACTAAAGGATTCTGAGATCTGGGTTGTGTCCAAAGTTTGTCGCAACACGCCACCGGATCAACAGGTAGAGCAAGCGAGATTGACGGTTCACCTACCGATCGCCTTGCACCCCAGGGTGACTGTGAACACGACCACAGTCAGCAACAAGAATGGCACGCGGCACCACGCCCAGTCACACATCATGCCGTCATCTTAGAGCCGTAACAAACTTTTGTAGTCTCCTATAAACTCGGGGCAGATCAATACAGACAGCCGAAAATGTGCACCATTTCGAAGAATGACTGTTTTATTTTCCACATGTTGCACAATGCTGGTTCACTGTGCTTGGGCGAGAAACGTGTCCGTTATATTAGCAGGGTGAGTGACTCAGCGGTGGACTTCGACATCTGATAAGGCCACACAGAGGATGCTCCTATTTCCAACACAATAGATTACTCGCCGCAAACAAGTCCACAAGCTGTCGGATCCGAAATGCTGTCAGCAACTTAATACTTTAAATACCGCCCTCATTGACATTCTTACACGTCTGCAAAGAGGGCAAGTGCTTTGTATATCCAAAAAGACACAATTCCGGTCCGTGTTTAGAACATTTAACAAGCTGCGGTCTACCACGGGCCATTATGTTTGAGTACGAAGAACCCGCCACATGGGCGATTCCCCACCCTTCGCCCCTTTCCGGTAGGTGAACGCGCTGCCGAAAAGCTCTTGTCTTGTTTACGACACTTTACATCTGAAGAGTTTGAAGAACCCCCAACATGGCCAAATCCCCGCCCTTCCCCCTCCATTAGGTGAACACACGCTGCTTGGAGCTCGTTACTTTGACTTGTTACGACACCCAGTTATCAAAATGTTAAGGATTATGCTGTTGGCATTCCGAAGAACGGTCACGGTGTAGCCTAAGATTCTATATTGCAAGTGATAAGAAGCACGAGTGCTCATGCTTCTTGCAAGATGGAAAATGAACGGTGGTTCAAGAGTCGATCATCACACCCCATACAAGGTGCAACATTGGATTCCCTATGTGTTGCATCATTCACACCAACATTAAACGAAAGTTTCGAGGGAGTTTGCACCGTGCAGCGTGATTGCGTGGGTCGAGTATTGATATTATGAAAGTCGATATGCAGGTATCGTATTACACGCCTTTCCGTACCAGCCTAATGAGATACCTGGCCTGGTGTAGGTTGGTAGAGACGCACATCCTCAGACAGGCTTGTGATATAACAGGAAAGACACCCCTGTTCAAATCACGCTTTGAACGTGATGGTAAGTATTTTCAATTCCACAGTATTTTTGACGCGGCTTGTTGAGTGGTAATGGTTCCTCTGTGAGACGTGACGTAAACTCTCCACCAATCACAGCAAAGAATGTTGCGAGTGGTTGTGCGACACGAAAGACTTCTCGTAACCAGTCTTTTAGATTCGGTTGTGTTCACCCGTGTAAATATGAAACATTGTTGGTTACACTTCTCATTTCAAATGAATAAAGCTTGCAACTTTTACTGCACAGTTTTGTTTCATGGGGTCAGTCGGTACAGCCACCTTTTACGCATGTGGCTCTGAAAAGTGGTGGTGCCCCTGAACTCGTCATATAATATATACTTCATATTGAAGTCTTCCATGCGTCATGGTTTCCAGACTAAAATCTTCGACAGTGTTCATAATCTATCCACTGTGTCTTTTCGGGTGTCGTTATGGCTAATAATGACATGTATATCTCGGGCCCGGCTGTTACATCTTTGGAGAAGAGATCTGAAGAAACAACATTTGAGAATGATGACTTTGATAATCTCATTCGTCCTCGAAGGTGACAGCTGGGGGTCCTTGATAAATGCAAGCAATTAACAATTTTGCCAGGGCATCTTGTGGACAATTTAACACTTCTCACGAAGCGCGGACAATCCCATTAAAAAGGATACGCAACATGACGTGTGTACCTGTCCAGTCCTTTAGATAGTCGCATAAAAACAGCGACCCCTACCAGAAACATTTAACCGACCGATGGTGGAAACAAATATGGACTGGTGTACTGTAACCTGATATGGGTGTAATTGAAATATGAGCTTCCTGTTGACGAAGGATGCGCATGCCAACCGAGGAAGGTCATCAGTTTTAGACATGATCTCTAGAACGTGGTTTGGAAATATCAGAAAGTGCAAATCAGTTCGAATAGTTAATTGATTCTGCAGGCATGTGTGCCATTATATGAACTTAATACAGAAATCAGTTGAATATTATAAGTGTGATTAACATGGAAACAAGCGGCTTGAAAATCAAGAAAATTCGATGTTGAGTTTGATCTTGATGCTGAATTGTTTAAATTGGAATTATCGGATTTCAGGTTAGCATTTTGTACAAAAATCGCCCAAAGAAAATCGACATTTGAAAAACTGAAACCTTTTCAACTACAACATCACTGTTGTTATCGCTGCTGTCGCTAACCGCCAGTTTTGTTTTAAACTTTATCCTTTCCTTTATTTTTGAATGGATACGGAAGATGAAGCGCTGTTTGATTCCAAGGGAATGCTGGGTAAGTGAGAGTACCTCGAGAGTATTCTGCTCTGGAATTCTCGTCGAGGAGTGTTTGAGGTGACAAAATCACCTGAAGCAAGCAGAACATCCTCTGCAAAAAATTGGTCGGTGGAAATGATCAAATTGGGCAGCTTCTGTGTGCGGGTTGCCATGCCAGCAGTGCGATCATAGTAACGTCTAGATAGGTACTGTAGCAGACATGGCTCCTTGACTTATAAACCATGCCGGTTTGAAGTGTACTTTTTTCCATTTCCTTCATAAACAGATATTGTTTTACAATGTAATTTGTCGCTCCAATACCATCGTGACCTCGATGGTGTGCAAGTGACGCGGACGGCTGTTGCCAAAGGGGAAATGACGGGCGTCAGCAAAGCAGTTCCGTGAAGAAATGTCCCGTCCTTGATGACCCCAATGACCCAGGATCTCATCCAATCACGTGGCATCTGTAGTTTGCTCTAAGGAAACAAACAACCCCCTGGCACTACTTCGAACTCTTCTCAAAACTGGGCTGCATTTTAAAAGTCTTTACTTTGACTTTGCATGGGAGTCTGGTATCAAGCTTGCCCGATCCGAACACCAACTTCAGGCATTTTTTTCTTAAGTGCATACCTCCGTAGACTTGCAATACAAGAGGTATTGGTTGTCATGGAAATGTGCCACGATGGAGATTTTCTTTTCCAATTTGAACATTAAGGGAGATACTTCGATTTTTCGGGTCAATGTTACAAGCAACTTAAAAGTGATTTTCTAACAAAAACAGAAGTTGTCTTTATACACAATGCGAATTTAGATCCTCCAGAAAACTTTCTGGAAAAAAAATTGCCAGGAGTGCTGAAGATATCTTTGCCCTTTGGTTGTTTATTCGTCATTTTTGGCCCTGAATTTGAGCCCTGGATACATTGTTGTTGTCGTCTGTTTTCTTCTCTTGTTGTGAAGGCATTGTTTTGCACAAGTTCGTGCGTACCCGGCGTCACTGCAGGAAATGATTGGTTGATAGCGAATAGTCTCATAGTTCCCTTGTGCACCAGCCAGTGCGTGCTATTCCGGATTGCGGTCAACGTGCACTTTCTCCAAAGTCAGAGGGTGTCCAATTCTTGGCGTAAATACTAGCGATTGAACATTTTAAGGAACTTCATCAATAAAAAAATCATTTCTTTTTCTGACTCTGCGTTTTGGTCTGTTAGCTTATGAGTTGAGCATGTATTGGTTGTGTTAGATAACATCGTGGTGTGCCCGGCAGAAGGGCGTCAGCGCTTAGGCCCTTCTGCCGGGCAACCGACGACATTATGCATGGCTTGGCGCTAATGACGGTACTGGCTTTCCCTCTCTCTTTCATCCTGTAACCCGGGAGGACATCGATAGCAAATAGATCACTAGGTAAATCGATAGGTCATGCAGAAAACTGGATTTTTGAAACACCGGCATTTCACCCACAGTGTACCAATAATCAATCGATTTTTAATTACCAGTAACGTAGGCAAAATGTATTAAACGTGAAGTCAAAATGGTACTCATTTCCGCGGGCGGTGTTTTTTTTTGGCGGAACGGTTTCAAACGCCATGTAAACCGTTTTTTCCAGGTAAGCGCTGTTAATTTTTCTAAACACAACCCGTTGCTGTAAATAAACATCTGGGGAATTGATTGTGTGTCGGTTCCGTCGCTCATTGCATTGCACGAGGACAAAAACAAAAAGAATTTTTTTTTTAATTCTGAACTAAGAGCAGCTGATTCTGCTGACGTTTTCTGTTTGTCCTGGATGGTTCTAATCGCTCAGGTTTTTTTTCACACTTCCTTCCTCTTCGCCTTCATATTCTTGGCTCACACCGATCCCAGTACATGGCTGCCAATCTCTACCAACAGACTTGTCGGTTCACGTCACATGTTGGAATTCCTTACACGTCTGTTTCTGTCTTCAGACTCTTAATGTAGTTCCCCTATCGCAGAAAATAATCAAAGGTGCCACTCATCTCCATTGTTCTCACACTGCAAAAAATGGGATGCTAAATTTAACACCCGCGGTGTTGTCAGTAGATTACACCAATACTTTACACTGTTGTTAAATATTTTGGTGTTATTTGGTGTTACTTTTAACACCCTCCAGCGCATTGTAACACCTATAGGTGTGCAAAGTAACACCAGCGGTGTTAAAATAACACCCTATGGTATGGTCATCTGACACTACAGTCTTTGCAGTGCATGTGCAATTCCCCTATATGTCTAGAGCTACAAACTTGACAACCAGTCATCTAGTATTACTACGCACAGTTGATGTCATAGTTGACGTCATTTGAGACAATAAATTTCATATTGCCATTTCCAGCCGATATTTCTGTATTTTTTTGAAATGTCCTTTTCTGGCATTGTTACATCATCGGGTTGATAAGTTTCATTAAATCTTGCGTCAAAACGATTCATCCAATATCTTTTTTATCGCAGAGCCCTCTGACACATAAGACTTTTTTCATGTGGAAAAGCATTTGAACAATATTTCTAGCATACAACAGAATTTTCAAACAGAAAGATGCGTTCAATCACGGCAAATGTCAGCGTTAACGTTACCGAGCGTTATGAAGTTGGCCAGATTTTTGAAGTTACTGAATCGACCACAGTGTTTACAAATTGCTTTTTTCCATTTCCGGTATCCTTTGGCGCTTGTGAACACTTCCCAAATGCACTGTTGAATTAATCAAGGAAGACTGAAAGAAATCCATGTCGAGATACGGTTGTATTTGCGCATGAAGGTGACGGCCCTCCTCAGATTTGTGAATAGAAGATACCCCCCAAACCCAACTGTTATTTGTAGCATTTTAAATGGTAAGAAAACCCTTTTATATTATCAAAATTCCGAGAACTTCACGCACGAAAGCATTTAATCACGGGCTCTTTCGGCTGGCGGTTTGATGACTGAATACCTTGGCCCAAAGAAGGAAGACAATTCGAATTAGTGGTTGATTTGTTCCAGCGGTGCGTCGCTTGGTTTCGGTCATCCGCCGAAATCCTCGCTCGGTATACAGGGAGTCTCGACGGGCGGAGACATAATTTAGATGGATGAATTCTCTGTCGAAGTCCAATGTAACACACGGAACGTCTCTTGATTGTCTCAATGAGACTCAAGCCGAGTGGCAGATCTACGCTTCCGTAGTCGAGAATTGTGTGGTTTGCAGCCAGTTACGCATCGCGGGTTTGATCAGAGTGATGGTTGTGGGTATTAGGAAGGGGGTGTCTTCCCTAAATCATTTCAGAGTAATTGTGGCCATGAGCATTTTATTTGCCGGGAAGAGAGAAAAAAAATGAAACATGAAACGAGGAGTTGACGGAAAGGTGGATGAATTTCACTAGAAGACCTAAAACGTTGCGGGAATGCTACGATTACTTTTCCCCAAATTTATTAACGAAGATCGACAGCATCCATAAAAATGATGAAGTCGTTTATTGAAGTTGGATGTCGCGAGAAAAGAATAATTGCACTTTCCAGGAAAGGCGAATAAGAGTTTCCCGTATTTGGTGGATGGCCGTAATAGTCACGACGAGATCGTCTCACTCTCACCAAAGTAATAATCAACGCGGGCATAATGCGTGGAATCGGCAGGCGTGTTTGTCCAATCCCGCCATCTCTCGCGGGTGCTCGTATAAAGGTCTAGGCCTTCGTTGAGTCCGTGTGATCTGTGATAGAAAAACACATGTCAAGCAAGGCTCCTCTATGAGGTGCAGCATTACAGAGAACCATTTGTTTATTTGTTAATAGGTCCAATAAATCATCTGTGTAATTGAAATGTTTGGTGCTGTGAGTTTACAACGAGCTTAACGAAGATGGGTTGCGTTGTTGCAACTCATCAGTATGAACTATAAAGAGTAAACCAACTTAAAAGGGGTACTTTTGAACGTGACTGTGTGTAGCAACGCGGGGCATCCGTTGCGATACAATGATTGAACGTTCGTTCTCAAATGGACTCATCCATCGTGGAGTATGCGCTGGAGTGTTCGCATGACAAGAAACGAAGCCACAGCCGATGTGAATCAGGTATCAGCCTCTCTTTGCGGCTTCCCCGAGAGGCGGCATTTGTTCCAGTATAGATACAGCTTTCCCGTGGACTTCACAGTGAGGACTCCCTCTATCCGGAAATCGGATGAAGTGGTAAGTTCAGTCTCCAATTTTAAGGTCTAGAAGTCGACTCTCGACGTGGCCGGCTTGTGTTTTAATTTTGCCGCAAATTTGGCCTAACGTTGGCAAGTCGTTTATTGGAGGAACTGAAAATGGAAACCGGGTGTTTGTTTATACAGTTTTTCTGTCGGAGGGAAGGTATTCTAACACAGTTGCAAGTGTAAAAATAAGTCGGACGTATGCATAAAATTCGTTGAGTAGGTTAATTTTGGGAAATGAAATACAGTCTGATTGGTGAGTTCAAGTGTTCATGCGTGCCCCAAGACAAATAAGATACAACATAAGCACATCACAGACTCGGACTAATTTGCCTTTAGAACTAAATACATGTGTTTGTATTGCAGTTCATCGGTGCCAACATTTATGGTCATCTTCAACGAAGGATTTGTGGTTCCAGAATTCTTTCTTTATTGTCTTGAAAAGTGTCCAGCCGAGATATGCCCATGATTCGTGATCTTTCCTGCAACTGGAAAATCCCGAAGCGATTCGTCAAAATGCATTTTGGAACTCATAAAGATTCCGTCTACTCGTTGTGACTTGTAAAGCGAGGTACATGGTCTGACGGGTATAGCTTTCATTTCAGTGTCTTGTTAATTCCAAACCTGGATGTCGGTCGCTGTTTTTACCGCTAGTGGTAATAATGATGACCTTGTCTGTAAAAGGAAATCATTGTAACAAGTAAATCATGGCAAGTTTACAAGAACAGATCTCTTCGGAAGTTATGTAAAGAATCAGTTCTTGGAAGAAATTAGGGATGCATTAGCACCTGCTAGCCCTTCCCATGAATACCATTTGAGGACAAAAGAGATAGGCCTAGTTATGGTGTGCGGCTACCTTCAACCGTACCGTCTTTGTTCCCTTCATACGGACCCTCTTCATAATCTCGACCTTGGCATGAAAGCGATTTACCGGTGGCTCAAGACGTGAGCTAAGTCACTAATTGCCGACCCGCTGTAAAATCTCCACCCCAATTCTACTTGATCTTTTGGCACATTCAACCTTCCATAAACGTCCCGCTAATTAGCCTCATCCGGCATGAGACGCGCTAGGTGACTAACACAGTCGTGTACCCACTGACCCCTTTGGGGTAGTTATTCTGGAATCTTTTCTAAGACGAGCATAATCGTGCGTCCTGGCACGCGACGACATCAGAAGGTACATCTGTCCCTTAAATAAACTATCTAGACAAAAGTGTTTCAGTAGCCCTGTCTGTAATGATAAAAATGGCTCTTCATGTGAAACGTGTGTACTTGAACTCGTTCCTGAACAACATTTCCATCTCTGAATTCATGTACAATGTCGCTGTCAAAAGGGGAAGGCTGCAACATTGCATTTTTAAAAAACCTTGTCTCGTTAACGTTCCGACATCCCATTTTGTTTGATCTTGCATGAGTCTTACATTTGGGATCACAATGTTACGATTTACCACCATTTCTCCGATGGTAGAGATTAGGAAAGGACCGGTACTCAATAAGAAGTTCTTCCACCTCTTTTTGAGGAATTGTCAGCATGTGTCGTTGATGGCACAAATATTGTCAAGTAGAAATGCATTATAATTAGGTTTGTGCCATGTCATGATAGAAATTTAAACGTGCTGGTCGAGCTCCTTGAAATTCGACACAGAAACACCCTAACCCAAAATATCATAGCAGACTTCCAGATCTCGTGATTCTACACGACTCAACTTGTGTGGGTTCAATTTTTTTCAGCAAATAGGTAGAGCAGGGTGATGATTGCGTAACTAACACCCTACCCATTCCGTTTGGTAAAAACAAGGCATTGATAGCCATTTTCCTGTGCTGTAACATTTCACCATGACGGTATTTTGGTGATGAATCACCTGGTCTCATTTTTACTTTTAGCACTCATAATTTCAGATTCTGTAATGAATACCCCTTCCCTTCATTGCTTTTCCTGTTCTATATATAGCTCTATAACAAGGACTTTGCTGGCGTGGCAAATGCACGCCTTTTTATTAGTGGAATTCGTTATTAGTGTGGAGTTGCAAAAAATGTGATTTGATGGCAATTTAATATGTAGCTACAATGAATTGTTCTTAGACACAAGTTTTCTGCAATTTTGTATACTGTTCTTCAGTGTGTGAAATTTCTTTTCCGTTCATACGAATGTGGTAAATTTAAACTAAAGTCATGCTTTCCTGGACACCTGAGGGCGCTGTTGCTGTGATGTCATCCAGGAAAGACAGTTCAGTCCGTAGGTGTTTCTGTTCAAACTGTGAACCTCAAATTTACTTACTGAAAACATTTCTGAGAGAGGGATTGATGCTTTGTTATTGCTATGCACATAAAAAAGAAGTAATTAGCGAAGAGGTCAAAATTTACAGTCCAGCAAAATCTACATAAATGCAACACTTTTTTGTGTAACATTGAGGCTTTCTTTCTAGGATGACATCACAGTTTTGCTCATGAATGTGGAAATACTCAGCATAAAAACCAAAGGCAGAAAAATTACCATTTGAAAAAATCGAAAATAAGTTTGACCGAGATACAAAAGTGTAGTTTGAAAGTTTGTATTAAAACAAATGGATTGCAGCAACCCTTTAACACCATGCAAAAAAATTATTGTTACCATTCCAGAAAACTTCAGCGCCAGTGTGAACAAAAGACTGACGCTTCTGTTATTGTCATTAACTGTTTAAATATAGATCTGTCCATCAACAGGGTTGGCCACGTGACTGGTAGAAAAACATGGCGTCGCTAGACATTATTTCAGGAACTACCAGACTGGTCAAGGCCCGGGGATTTCGGGGACCCTAGGCTTGTCTTTGTTGAGCTAACTATTGTGAAATCACGAGGTCTTCCAAAATTACGAAATATGTAAACAAGTTCGAAGATGTTATGTTCATTTTCATCATTCGTGACCTTATAAATCACGTACTGCCAGGAAAAAAGTCATCTCTCCTATTTTTAAACACAATTATAGAAACAGCTGTGAAGTAAAGATGCGTAGGCCCCTATTTCTTGGTTTTCCGTCTTAGGTTTAATATTGGGAGAAATATGAATTGGCAACAAAGGCAGAGTTGGACCACGTTCGTCTCGGGTGTACATTCGCTAAAATTCGAGTCAAAGATCTCTTGCAACTAACGTTGCAACTCCTTGTGATTTCATCAGGCCCTCGGCCTGTTTGTTCGTGTACCTCTCTCATTGTCTGGCCGTGAAGAGAGTACATCTGGTTACACAACCCTGCAAAACCACGAACACCTCTACTCACCTTGGAAGATGTCATAGTTTGATTAAGAGAAATGATTTCGTCAATTTCTGGTATATTGCCCAACACTTTTGAGGGTTGTTTTGATATTAGACATGCTTTTATTTGTCATTCTGGGCAATAACAAACGGTCTTCGGACGATTGATGAAGGTCAGTCTTTGAATTTCCGATGGCCATGACGCTAACTAGCCAAGTTATGAAATGTTCCCTGAAGCCGTTTTGAAAGCTCTCAGTTTATGTAATTAGCACTGATCCCATCAAATTTCTTAATTTAGATGTTGCCTTGAATTTGCCCATACTGAACATCAGTTTCACGTTTCTTAGCAAATCTGGTATTCACATAATCTGATATGAATAATACTTAATTCTATGGTTGTTGAAAACTTTAAACAGTCTATGCGAATTCTGACCAGCAATGAACGACTACATAATAATGTGAATTTCTGACGATGAGTTTTAACTCCGTAATTATGGAATTCATGCATGCGGCATGCCTGTGAATTTTTTCTCAAAACAAAGGAAAGCTTATAGTTCAGTATGATCCTGCGAGCTTGCATTTTTTTACCCCACACAAGATTAGTTCCCTCTTTCACTCACAATTATATGACTGTGTGCAATATTTGGCCTATAAAAAAAGTATAATCGTCGCTGGCTATAGGCACTTGTCGATGACGTCATTAGAACTATGGAAACTGTCGCCCCATGGCAGTTAAACGACGCTGATTCCCGAATTTAGTATACGTTATCTAATTGGAGAACCCGTGCTTTTGTTCTCAAAGGCCGTTAAAAACTGAGAGAAAAGCTGGACACTCGTTTATGGTATCCTTCATTGTCGTTCCGAACAATGTTTAACTTGCCGTTTTCCCTGCCACGACTATTGACACAAAATACATGTAGTTCTCGATCAAGCGGAACATTTTGATGACCACGTACCCCTTGTTTCTTACACCATGCATTTGGCCTTTTTTTTTCGATCTTATTACACTTATTTGTGGGGCACACTCGGATCATGTAGATTTATGGTATCCAAGTGATATTTAAGAGTCTTTCAAGGAAATGACAGTCGAGCAGTCCTTTACAGCAAGGTCGTTGGGACTTCATGAGTTACTGTTGAATAACAGGAACCTTGCAAGGACGAAGCAAGAACTAGCTGGGGCTGTTGACATACTTTTTGAGGAAAGGAAAGGAAAGAGACCAAAAATCGCCTTTCTCTTATAAAGAATAAGTTTTTCTCATTTGGGACCCTGCCCCGCTTCCCTTATCCCCCCGTCTGGTATTTTTAGGATTATTTTTAGGATAAGAAACAAAGAATACAAAGTTATCTCTTAATTATGAGCAGGATGTTAAAATAACAGTGTACATTGTATGTTATTTTTTTGCTCGGTTATCCGCCTTGAGCATAAGCACCCCCTCATCGGTTGAAAAGAGCCACGCTGGTCGGAAGTGTTAGGTTTGTTGGTAGCGACGCGTATGCAACGCCTGCATTTCATAGTCGTTTGTGAAACAGCGAAGTGAGGTTCCTACCAAAGGAGCCTCCGTTGCTGGAAAAAGTGCAGCCTCTCTTGGTCCAGCTCGAGACCAAAGCCCGAGAAATGTACCTCATCACTGTAGAATTTTCTGAACTTCTATCGTCGGTTGTAAATGAATGTCTGCAAATCACATTTATGTTACTTGTCTAAATGACAGTTAAAACAGTTATACTGTCACTTAGTATTTTTGTCGAAACTCCACTGCATTTTATTTA